CTGGCAGTCAGCACACAATCCAATTCCCCCAATAACGAGACGACACTTCGTTTTGAGGGTTAAGCAGAATCTCTAGATTTATTCACACAGCCTCCTTTTAAGACATTCTCCCATGCAAGGGAGGGATCTACAACAATTAGTACCCCAGCCAATAATGTACCAGTTACCTCCCACACATCTCCTCCCCTTAGTGTGACACATAATCCCATTAGTACAAACACAAATTCCCTGGGGTACTGGATGTACCCCTAAACATAGGGATACCCCTTTAAATGTTACATCCCCTGGTAGCCCTGATCTGGGTGAGACACATATGCAAAAATCACCCAGATCGGACCAGGGGTTCAGGAATTATAAAGGGTTAAAGTTTTGACCGACTGCATGGCAAAAGTATCCGAAAATAGTTCCATGTATTTTGGCCCTGCAGATGGTCACAGAAAAGGGAATCAAACACACGAATTGCCTGTGTTACAGAGCTTGGGGAGGATTCGTATGAATCCCCCTGTTCGTGGGATCCTTTCTACCGAACGGCGGGCCGTTCGGTAGTTTCTGCACGAATTGCTGGAAGTCTGGAGGTCTCAGCGGTGTTTGCTTAGTCGAGTGTCCGATTTTACGATTTTAGTTCCAGACACTCGACGGCAAAACACCGCTGTTCGGGAGTTTAAGATGGCCGCCGCCACGTTTTCGTTTCCCGAATGGCGGCCACCCAGAGGACACAACACATATTACACATATTGCCAATTACCCGTTTGCAACATTGTTGCAAACGGTAATTGGAGGCACACTTACTCCCGGGTGGTCTGGTTGTTCGGTAGTTTCACCCAATATAATGAATGAAGTGATTCTACCGAACAATCAGGGGAATGCTGCATTCACATAACACTTTATACCGAACACATAATATCAGATACAGCCTGAATGCAATTTGCTACACAGTCTTAAAAAGGCATTATTCCTAACAGGCAGAATATGTTCACGGATGGCCCTTAAAGGGCCAGTAGCAGCAATATAAGAATGTCACATGCCCAAATATTGCATACAAAAGTACGAATTCACAAGGGGGCCATAGTCAGATGGCAGGAGGCTGGCAACCAGGCTTCTCCAGTGCATAGTGGCGAGGTTGGTTTCGCCACACTTCTCCCCTTTCCCAATCAGACTAACAGGGTATCTGACCTCCTGCCGGTCAGTGCCCTCGTTAGTCCAGCAGCCCACCCACAAAACACAATCAGTAATACAGCCCACCCACAGTAACTGGCTACTACACCAGGGTAGAGTAGAACTTTGTCCGTGTCCAGGTGCCTCACCCTGGCTGCGTGGGTGACTGGTCAGCGTACTGGGTGGGTTGCTGAGTGTACAGAGACCAGCGGTACTCTGTCCTGGTGCCAGCACTACCATGGGAGCAGGCTGGTTGGAGCCTGGTTGCTGGAGGAGAAGGCAGACTGTCTCCCCTTTGCCTAAACAGTCCTGCTGCTGGGTGACAGGACCGACTGTCCCTACCCCCGGTGGTGCATGTGCAGCGACTACTGTCCCATCTGCACTGTTGTGGAGATCACTGTCTCCCCTTGGTGGGCTAAGCTGCCGCTGGGGAGAGGGTGTAACAAGCTCCTCTCCCATACATACTTTCCGCCGCTGGGGAGAGGGGATAACAAGCTCCTCTCCCTGACCCACTCTCTGCTGTTGAAGGGGGAGACCGACTGTCTCCCCTTTCAATAATTCGTCCTGTTGCTGGGGAGAGGTGATAACTGGTTCCTCTCCCTGGAACACTCTCTGCTGTTGGAGAGGGGGACCAACTGTCTCCTCTTTTAATATATTGTCCTGCTGCTGGGGAGCGAGACCGACTGTCTCCGCTTCCTGCAGGACACACTGCCGCTGGGGAGGAAGGACGGCACCTTCTGCTCCCTGGAACACACACTGCCGCTGGGGAGGACGGACGACACCTTCAGCTCCCTGGGACACACACTGCCGCTGGGGAGGAAGGACGGCACCTTCAGCTCCCTGGGGTACACACTGCCGCTGGGGAGGAAGGACGGCACCTTCAGCTCCCTGGGGTACACACTGCCGCTGGGGAGGAAGGGCGACACCTTCAGCTCCCTGGGGTACACACTGCCGCTGGGGAGGAAGGACGACACCTTCAGCTCCCTGGGATTCACACTGCCGCTGGGGAGGAAGGACGACACCTTTGGCTCCCTGGGACTCACACGGCCGCTGGGGAGGAAGGACGACACCTTCAGCTCCCTGTAGCTCACACTGCCACTGGGGAGGAAGGACGGCACCTTCTGCTCCCTGGGACACACACTGCCGCTGGGGAGGAAGGACGGCACCTTCTGCTCCCTGGAGTACACACTGCCGCTGGGGAGGAAGGACGGTACCTTCAGCTCCCTGGGATACACACTGCCACTGGGGAGGAAGGACGGTACCTTCAGCTCCCTGGGATACACACTGCCGCTGGGGAGGAAGGACGGCACCTTCTGCTCCCTGGGGTACACACTGCCGCTGGGGAGGAAGGACGACACCTTTCGCTCCCTGGGGTATACACTGCCGCTGGGGAGGAAGGACGGCACCTTCTGCTCCCTGGGGTACACACTGCCGCTGGGGAGGAAGGATGACACCTTTCGCTCCCTGGGGTACACCTATGAGTCCCCGTAACGCACTCTGCCTCCGGATAGGGCGGCTGATACCTTTGGCTGGATCTGCCATGAACTCCAGGTACTCGTCTACCTGGCTCCTTACGAACTGCACGTATTTCTCCGGGGGTTGGGTCCAAAGAAAGCCAGCCGCATAGCAAACTCTCTGTCATACTGCTCCTGAGTGTAGCTAGGTGCCATGCTTGCGCTGCTGAAGTTGGCTCTTTTGTCGATAGGGTCGCTGTACGTGTACTGGCGTTGCCCTCACTTTGTAATCCAAGGAATGGTGTTGCCCTGTAGCTGTCTTTCTGGTTGTAGGAACGATCCCACCGCTGCCACCAATTGTAACGGACCGTTTCTCTCACAAGGGGATAAAATCCGTTTAGGCGATAATCCCCTTTCCCATAGACCAGCAGCTATTGCAATCACCAACCTCCCGAATTCCAAACTGTACGAATCCCCAACTCAAGAACAAGAAATACACGAACTCTGGAAGCAGCCGAACAGGAAAAGCAATACGAACAGCTTACACCCCTGGCAGTCAGCACACAATCCCATTCCCCCAATAACGAGACGACACTTCGTTTTGAGGGTTAAGCAGAATCTAAGGATTTATTCACACAGCCTCCTTTTAAGACATTCTCCCATGCAAGGGAGGGATCCACAACAATTAGTACCCCAGCCAATAATGTACCAGTTACCTCCCACACATCTCCTCCCCTTAGTGTGACACATAATCCCATTAGTACAGACACAAATTCCCTGGGATACTGGATGTACCCCTAAACATAGGAATACCCCTTTAAATGTTACATCCCCTGGTAACCCTGATCTGGGTGAGACACATATCCAAAAATCACCCAGATCGGACCAGGGGTTCAGGAATTAGAAAGGGTTAAAGTTTTGACCGACTGCATGGCAAAAGTATCCGAAAATAGTTCCATGTACTTTGGCCCTGCAGTCGGTCACAGAAAAGGGAATCAAACACACGAATGGCCTGTGTTACAGAGCCTGGGGAGGATTCGTATGAATCCCCCTGTTCGTGGGATCCTTTCTACCGAACGGCGGGCCGTTCGGTAGTTTCTGCACGAATTGCTGGAAGTCTGGAGGTCTCAGCGGTGTTTGCTTAGTCAAGTGTCCGATTTTAGTTCCAGACACTCGACGGCAAAACACCGCTGTTCGGGAGTTTAAGATGGCCGCCGCCACGTGTTCGTTTCCCGAATGGCGGCCACCCAGAGGACACAACACGCATTACACATATTGCCAATTACCCGTTTGCAACATTGTTGCAAACGGTAATTGGAGGCACACTTACTCCCGGGTGGTCTGGTTGTTCGGTAGTTTCACCCAATATAATGAATGAAGTGACTCTACCGAACAATCAGGGGAATGCTGCATTCACATAACACTTTATACCGAACACATAATATTAAATACAGCCTGAATGCAATTTGCTACACAGTCTTAAAAAGGCATTATTCCTAACAGGCAGAATATGTTCACGGATGGCCCTTAAAGGGCCAGTAGCAGCAATATAAGAATGTCACATGCCCAAATATTGCATACAAAAGTACGAATTCACAAGGGGGCCATAGTCAGATGGCAGGAGGCTGGCAACCAGGCTTCTCCAGTGCATAGTGGCGAGGTTGGTTTCGCCACAGGTACTTCACTCCCTTGGCTGTTAATGTCGCTGTAAGTGGTCAGAGAGACATTCGCCATTGCAGGGTTGTGCGTGAGAGATCAGAGTAGAACGTTAAGTCCATGTCTTCGAAGCGGTAGGGATTCTTCCCTTTGATGGCGCCCATAAAAGCAGCCTTGTCTTGCCCATTTTGAAATTTGACCAGGAGGTCACCTGTTGCAGAGCTTGCGAGTTGTCTTGGCTTGGGCAGGAGGAACATGCCATCCAGCTGCATCCCTTTAGCTTGTTTAGGGGACAGGAGGGCCGCAAATAGCCTTCTTAGGAGATGGGGAAGCTCAGCTGGGGATACAGCATCTGAGAGGCCTCTAATTTTGATATGCTTCCACCTCCTTTTGTCTTCCATAGCAGTGGGTTAGTGTAGTGTGAGCTGAGGAGAGGTCTTTGACCTGATTCTGTCATTTGTGCTGCCTGTGTCTGAGTGGTTTGCTCCACAGCTGAGAGGCGATCAGTGATCCCCTTAACATACTCCCTTACCTGGGAGATCTCTGTGGAGAGCGACTGGCTTAGGTTGGACAGGAGAGAGGTAAGTATCTCCGTGGTAACCGGGAGACCCGCCGTCAGTTGTGTGGGTTTGGAAGGTCCCTTGTAGCCCAATGTCTCAGGGCAGTGGAGGGACGTGCCATCCAAGCTCCCAGAGTAATCCTCGAAGTCAGCCGCCATGTTGAGTCCAGTCGCGCCATGCAGTCTCCTCAGCAGGTCGCCTATATCGGCCGTGAACCGTGGGCGATCCGGACACGTTTTTTTTTTTTTTCTCCCCATTGTTGGAGGGGTGTTAGCAGGCTGTCTGCAGTGTGGTAGGGTGCTTCTTGAGGCTGATTTTGGGCCTTATTGGGCTGCGGTCGTCGGAGAGCAGTAGGTATGCGACTGTTCATGCCAAGAGCTGGCTCTGCCCCCCCTAGTCTAGTTGTTATCTAAATTTTACATCTTCAATCCTGTTATTCCTTATTGCCTGGAAAGTGTTATTTTGCTGTTCTATAATACTCTTATTTATGAAATATGCATCAATATTCCTATTTTTCTTTCTGAACTGACATATCCTGTTGCCTGTACTTTTTTTGTCCTATAATAGACATTATTTAAAATAAATAAATGTATTATGCTAATACCAAAATATGGGGGTTGTGGAGTTGCAAGAAATTATCTTTCAAACCAGTTTACTTAAAAAAATTAATGGTTTAAAAAAAAATTAAAAAAAATCAACAGAGTATTTGATTTACAATTTAATCAATTAATTTTTTTACCCAGTCAGACCAACAAATTGCTTTTGTTCGTAAGTGTTCTGCTGGTCTCACAAAGGTTAGCTAATCCCTTTCTCTCCTGCGGATAACTAGTCCATCGTAACATTGCGGTGTTCTCGCCTTTTTAAGATTGAGATGAGTCATTTTTGATCGTGTGCCTATTCCCATTGAAAGCTCTGACTGATCTCCCTCGCTCCCTGCTATTCTTATGTTGTGTTTGATGTGTGGAATTTTTAGATCAGGAGAGAATGCCTTCTGTGTCGGAATGGAGTTGCTGTTTTTAACATGTCCTACTTTGGAAAGTTTTACCTGGTCGGGCCGGACGCCACTAAAGCCGCTAATTGGCTATTCACCGCTGATATCGACAAGCCTCCAGGTAAATGCTATGAACAACAAGGGGATGTTTCTCTTCTGTGATAATGGGACCAGTAATTATAGAAGAAATTATAGGTTCAAAAGTATAGACTTTTTTTTTTCTTCGTAAAGATGACCAGCTGCTTTTGCCGTATGTTGCATTAAAAGTCTCTGCACTATTTTATTGGCTTTATGATCACCCAAAGAGGTTATGTACATCCCTCACAGTTTATTTGACCACATGACTCCACATGACTTGGTTACAACCAATCAGAACAGGATTAATCATTATGTGACCGTGGGCAGCTGCCTAGCGCCCAGGGGTTAACCAAGAAGACGGCTGCCATCTCACGTTTACATACTCATTAGCATCTCCCTTCTTCGTGCCCCAAACAATATTTTTGTTTCTGAGTACTCTGTTCAGACCTGATCTGCAGGTTTGTAAAAAATAAACAAAATAGAGATTCAAGAGACTTACTCTCACTTTATCCATACAGATGTTCAGCTACTAGATGCATACTTGCAAAAACAGAATATTCAATTATATAATTTTTCAATGTAGGGTAATAGCTTCTTGATCCAAGGATAAATCTGACTGCCATTCTGGGGTCAAGAGGGATTTTTTCCCTAGTTTGTTGCAAAATTGTTCAGACTGTTTTTTTGTTTTTTTTTTGGCCTTTGTTTGGATCAACAGCAAAAATTTAATGTGAGGAAGGCTGAACTTGATGGACACATGTCTCTTTTCAGCCTATGTAACTACACCCTGTTCCAAATTATTATGCAAATGATATTTTTCTCACTTACCTAAATAATTGATGTAAATAACAGTCAGCATAATTCTCATGTTATCAACTATTAAGAGTACAATTCAAATTTTATTGAACAAACCTCCTAATGATAACAGTATTTTTTTAAACATAAAAAACTTACAAGGCACCGTTCCAAATTATTACGGACAGTAAGCTTCAAAACACTTTATAGGTTGTAAAGAACTTCATTTGTTGTGTTTGCAGCATATTTACGGAAATCAAAAGCTATTTCAATCAAACTTATAACAACATTTTAATTTTTTAAACATTTTAACATAGGACCCCTTATTTGATAGCAGGTTCACAAGTCTTGCATCCATTGAACTTGTGAGTTTTTGGACAGTTTCTGCTTGAATTTGTTTGCAAGATGTCAGAATAGCCTCCCAGAGCTGCTGTTTGTATGTAAACTGCCTCCCACCCTCATAGATCTTTTGCTTGAGGATGCTCCAAAGGCTCTCAATAGGATTGAGGTCAGGGGAGGATGGAGGCCACACCATGACTCTCTCTCCTTTTATCCCCATAGCAGCCATTGATGCAGAGGTATTCTTTGCAGCATGAGATGGTGCATTGTCATACATGAAGATGATTTTATTACGGAAAGCATAGTTCTTCCTTCTGTACCAGGGAAGAAAGTAGTCAGTCAGAAACTCCACATACTTTGCAGAGGTAATCTTTACACCTTCAGGGACCCTAAAGGGACCACCCAGCTCTATTCCCATGATTCCGGCCCAAAACATGACTCCATCCCCGCCTTGCTGACGTCGCAGCCTTGTTGGAACAGTGTGGCCGTCCACCAACCATCCACTACTCCATCCATCTGGACCATCCAGCATCCAGGGTTGCACGGCACTCATCAGTGAACAGGACTGTTTGAAAATTAGTCTTCATGTATTTTTCTGCCCAATGCAGCTGTTTCTGCTTGTGAGCATTGGTTAGTGGTGGCCGAATAGAAGGTTTATACACAGTTGCAAGACTCTGGAGGACTCTACACCTTGATGTCCATGGGACTCCAGAGGCACCAGCAGCTTCAAATATCTGTTTGCTGCTATGTAATGGTATTTTAGCAGCTTCTCTCTTGATCTGATGCATGGATCTGGCAGAAATCTTCCTCAATGTGCCTTTATCTGCACGAACCCGTCTGTGCTCTGAATCAGCCACAAATCTCTTAATAGTGCGATGATCACGCGTAAGTTTTCGTGAAATATCTAATGTTTTCATACCTCGTCCAAAGCATTGAACTATTTCACTCTTTTCGGCAGCAGAAAGATCCCTTTTCTTCCCCATATTGCATGAAAGTGGTACTCTGCTTAAAAATGTGGAACACCCTCCTTAAATTGGGCTCACCTGGCAATCTAATTATCACAGGTGTCCGAGATTGTTTTCAGTGATCAAAAGAGCCCTGAGACACAATGCCATCCATGAGTTAAGCTGAAAAACAAAATATTTAATCTTTGTGACACTTAAATAGAATTTGCATAATAATTTGGAACAGGTTGTATGTGACTATGTAATTTTAGGGCCCCCAATATTGCAACAAATAAACAAAACAAAACTAGACTTGTGTATGGTGAGAACAATTTTCCCCAAAAATAGAAACATTCTTGTGATACCTGAACTTCGGTCATGTGGCAATTCGGCTCCGCATAATTTTGGAACCGAAAAACCCGATTATTGAAATGAATCATAAGAACCAAAATGTTGCGAAAGTGGGCCAATCAGTGTATAGCAACATACAGAATAGTATGTTTTGCAGAACATTGATAAGAGCATTTTCCAGCCATACGGTTCACAGATCAAATGAGGAAAAAGTAACTAATAAAGAAAAAAAACCTGTATATTCTATATTTATTTAATACAAATAAAAATCAAAACATTTGGTCATTGAACGGCTTGTTTGGTTTGTGATCCAGGTCCATCTTGTCTCGAAATTTGGGAATCCGACCGATTACTTATTGGCCCAAATTCTGATGCACTGCAGTTCGAACCGGAACAAATCTCCCAGTCTAAATAAAACCATATTTTAATATTGTAATATTCATAGTACTCTCCAGGCTCCTGGCAATGTCCTATCACAGTCTGCGGTCACTATGACTGATATAAAATATACGAATAGAAATTTACCTATAATTAAATCACAGTAAAGATGGGCTATCTGGTTCGGTTTATGCTAGATGAGTGTACGTTTTCAGCCCATCTTTTTTTGATTTGTGATCTCCTGTCTGTGTTCCAGGATCCACAGTGTATACCTGCATGCTAAACCACCGTGGCGGCACGGAAAGTGATCTCACCGTAAGCAGAATTTCTCCTGGAACACAATCGTCTCCCCTAGCTCCAGCCTTTGATGGTAGGTATACAATGCCAGACTGCTGAATATCCGGTTTATTTAAAGCTACAGTGACCTTTAATACTGTTACTAAGGAAATCTCTGTTTTGGAAACGTATTTTATTGCTTTTAAGCCATGGCTCTGAGATTCTATGTCTTTCTTAAAGCGATTTCTAGAAATCACACCATTAAATATAACATGTCAGGGCACACACTGCATTGGAAGAGGGCAAAGAGAAACATTATTACATTTCTCGTCCTCTCTCTGTGCTCTCTCTATGCTGATTGACAAATGCAAAGGGCGGAGCTTATAAAAATCAATCAGTTAAAGGTTTAGACAGCTCCATTCCACAACAGAGATACATTTAGCAGTATTCATTTTTCAGACATCATAAACACGTTTAAGTGCAAGATATAAGGATATCATTAATTATTTTTTTTACATTCATGCAAAATGACCGTTCATCTATGAAACCAAATCACTGTGAGTTTTATTTTTCCAAAGCTCAATGCGCCAAAAGATAATCAGTTCTCGTAACAAAAAGGAACATTAGGAAAGAATACAGACACAGAGGGATTTCGGTCCAAATTAGGGACTATCCCTCCTAATTGAGGACACTTGGGAGGTATTGTGTTTTTTACTAAATAATACAAAGTAGGCGCTGCTTATGGAAATCTGGACCTGCTTTAAGTTATTTAACCAAATGATTAAAGAAAGCTTTAATTCTTCCCCTTACCGTGCAGTGGATTAAACCTGTATAAGCTCTTGTTAAGCCGTACATGGTAGAAGGTTTGTTCTGGCTGTAAATTGACGCTCGTGTTAAGAGAGTTCAATGTTCCTTTTAGAATTAATGGCTGATTTAATAGGCATGCTTTTTTCCATAAAGGGCGAGTATAATATCGTTTTTTTGCTGCTGAAATGTATTCTTCATCTGCGAGCCTGGGGTTTGTAGGTGGAATAAATGAAAATGTTCTCACAGGGTTTAATACATATATAGATTTGGCATTAGATTTTTTGTGTTCAGCCCCTTAAAACTTTAATGGGTCAGGTCTGTGTGAAGCGGCGTCTGTGTTGGATTGCTGAGACTTTGCAGCTGCTAATGTTGGCATTTAATGACTGATTTGTAGAAATGCTATGAATATTACACAATTTTGCTATTTTTACCTAAATTCTGCAATTTATTCATTAAATCTCAGCAACTCTGTGAGCTTTTCCTAAAATCAGATGTTTCATTTGTATCAAAAGTGAGAACCTACTCCCCTCTCAAAAATGTAAATTTTCAGTAGGCTATTAAAGACAATGTGTTCTTTAATTCAGTTTATTATATCGCTGAGTTGTTTTGTTTTTATATATCTTACTAAGAGCCGTGTACAACAGGGTATGTGTTTAAGAGATTTCCATCAAAACTGTCAGTTGTTTTAGCGTTGCTGAAATGATGCAGAACTAGAAGGAGCAGAGCATCATCCAAGCATTTTTAATAAACGTATACAGTGGTACCTCGGTTTACGAATGTAATGCGTTCTCCGGGAGGTTTCGCATTGCAAAAAATTAGTAAACCGAAACGCGGATTCCCAAAGGAATGCATTGAAAATCCAATCAATGCATTCCGGAGGTCAGAAAAAAAAGTTTTAAAGTCTTTTATCTGTTCAAAACTCTTTATAAAGTGCACTTTAAATGGATAAATACTATACAGGGACATGATTAATCAAGCAATAACATTTCAAACATCCAACTTCAACTTTTCAAACATGGTACAATACACTTCAACTGTACATAAATCAGACGTCAACTGGGAAAACATAGTTACATAGTTAGACTTGCGTCCATCAAGTTCAGCCTTCCTCACATTTGTTTTTTGCTGTTGATCCAAAAGAAGGCAAAAAAAAACCAGTTTGAAGCACAATTTTTCAACAAGCTAGGAAAATAATTCCTTCTTGAACATGGAAAACTTCAAAACAATTTCAACACTTTTTGGAAGAGGAGGAGGAGGGCAACGGGGCAGCACTAACATAAGCAGGTTCTTCAAAATGTCTAGGCTGTTTTTTGTAGGAACCTTTCGATTGTCTGCTGCTTCTGGCACCTTTGAAGTATCCCTCGGAAAGGGGACATGATGTCGGTGTCAAAACTGTTCACAAGTCTCTGGGCTAGACCCTTATCTGGGTGGTGCTGCTGTACAATAGTCTTTGGGTTTACCCACATTTGGTATGCCTCCTTGAGTTCCCTGGAAGAGAGCTGTTCCTCACTCGTTTCCTCCTCCTCAAATGAGATCTGCTCCATCATCGCCTCCTTCTACAATTCCACAATGTCATCGGTGGTTAGCTCACGGTCGTGTCCCTCCACCAGCTCACAGACATCCTCCTCAGTCACCTCCAGGTCCATGGTCCTCCCCAAGGAAACAATCTCCTCCAACACTGTTGACTCTGGTGCAGGTGCAGAAGCATCGGAGGCAGGTTTCACAACACAGTCTGGCACAGGCAATGGTGATAATCTGCAGACAGCTCACAATGTCAAAATGCTCTCTCCAAAATTCATGGAGGGTGAGGCTTGATCGATCTGTCCTCTCAAACCATCGCCGGAAAAGCTCCCTTGTGTAGAGTTTTTTTTTAAAATTGGGGATGACCTGCTGGTCCATGGGCTGGAGAAGTGGGGTGGTGTTAGGCGGAAGGAACATGACCTTGATGAAGTTTAAGTCCTCCAGCAAGTCTTCCTCGAGGCCTGGAGGATGGGCAAGAGCACAGTCTGTGAGAAGCATGGCTGTGAGCGGCAGGTTATTGTCCACAAGGTATTGCTTGACAGCATGACCAAAAACCACATTGACCCACTGCACAAACAAGAGGCGTGTGACCCAAGCCTTTGGATTGGACTGCCACAAAACGCTCAACTGCTCCTTGTTCACCTTGTGTTTCTTGAAGGCCCATGGCTTCTCTGAATGGTAGACGAGCAGGGGCTTGATCTTAAGGTCCCCACTGGCGTTGGCGCAGAACAGGAGGATGAGACGGTCCTTCATCGACTTGTGGCCAGGCTATGAGGTCTCCTCTTCTGTGATGAAGGTACGCTTTGGCATCCTCTTCCAGAAGAGCCCAGTCTCGTTGCAGTTGAAGACCTGCTGAGGACGGTAGCCCTCTGAAACAATGACCTCCAGGAACTCAGTAGCAAATTCCTCAGCTGCAGCAACATCGGAACTTGCGGCCTTTCTATGCCTGACCACGATGTGGATGCCAGATCTGGTCTTGAACCTTTCGAACCAGACACTGATAACCTTGATGCCTTCTGCATCGGCTGGCATTCCTGGCTGTTGGTTGAGGAGGTCAGCATGCAAGGCCTTGGTTTTTTTCACAGATTATCGCCTCAGTCACTGTGTCCTCTGCTTCTGTTCAATCTAGAGCAGGAGCAACTTTTCAACCTCCTCCAGAACAGGTGGCCATTGCTTGGAGACACTGGTGACTCCCTTGGCTGCATCTCTCCAAGTTATCTTTTCTTTCATCTTTAGGATGGTAGCGATTGTGGATGCACTCCTTCCATACTCTTTGGCAAGGTCAGTCAATTGCATTCCTCCTTCATGCTTCCTAATGGTTTCTTTCTTGACCTCGAGCAGAATCATCTCCTTCTTCCTCTTCCCAGCTTCCGCTGCTTTCTTGGGTGCCATGACACCACAGTCACTAAGTGAGCGGAAAATTAAAAAAATGCTTTGCACCCACATGAGCTGGCATGGAAACCACCCCACAATGCAGAACACAGTAACAGGCACGCACAGCACATGAGCTGGCATAGAAACCACAGTAAAAGCCATGCACAGCACAGGAGCGGACATGGAAATCACCCTACAATGCAGAACAAACAGTAAAAGGCATGCAAACCTCTAAGCTCCGCTCTCTACCTTTCCACCTCTTGAGAAATGCACCAAAAAGTCCCAAAACTTCGCTGCAAATGGCTCCAAAAGGCTCCAAAACTCGCTGGAAAAAAAACCTCTGTAACACCTCCACACTCACTAGCTAACCAGACATCAGTATGCAGGGGGACGGCACTATAAACCGGGAAGCTTGCTTTGTATTGCGGAAAAAAAATCATAAACCGAGGCATTTTTTTCAATGGATTTTCATTGGGAAACTTAAATTTTCGTTTACCGAGGCGTTCGTTAACCGAGGTACCACTGTACTTCAATCCAAGACACCAGGGATATTGTAACGGGATACCAGGGTGTACTTGGCTTCAAGATGTTGGTGTCAGAGCAATGGACTTCTAAAAAAGTGGTTACGAAAGTTATCTTGCTTGTGAAATGTTTTTGTATGTGATAACTTTTGCCTGTCTTAAGACTTACATATTTAGGGCTGTTTATAATAAAACCTTGAGGCCAAGTAAGTGGACTGCTGACATAAGCCAAGAAGACGCTCCTAACCCTTCTCCAACTACTGAACCAAATACGTAAATGTTAATTTCAGAGATGGAAATGGTCCCTCTTATTTAGAATAGATGGTAGGTTACGTAAGTGACTTATTTGCCATGGAGCAAATTATTTATGATTTAATTCATACATTGTTTTCTTAAAGGGACACTAAGCACTGTAACCACTATAGTTTTTTTGCAGTGATTTTGGGTGCAGTCACATCGGTGTCAAGCAGTTAGACTAAAAAAAAATGGAGGATTTCCTGCAATTAGAACTCAGCCCATGAAATTTATTTGACTGTGTAAGCAGTATGTGCCGTCGCCGAGTTAACCATTTTAGCGTTGCCGATACTGCGCAGGCTTCCTAGGCAAGAGAAAAGGTTAGCGTAGACTAGAAAAAGACCATTTTGGAGCTATTCTTCCGGTATACAATAGGATCTCACTCCTCGCCGTTGTTCCTATCTTATTCCTGTTCTAGGTTATTTGTCTACGTTATCTGTTTATATGTTCTTCTGTTCAATAAACCACAATCTGATATTCAGAGCTCCAGCTTCCCAGTGTCAGAATTCTTTTGTTAATTGCAAAAAAAACAAGTTATGTGAGAAGATACAATAAATGTATATATATTTTTATACCATCGGTATGTGTCTGTCACTTTAAATATTCTCTTTAGATCAACATATACCATAGGGACTTAATAAGAGAAAAACATATATGTAGTGTAATATTGCAAATAAAAGATGTCTGTTTGGACAGAAAGTGCAGTAATCCTACTCACCTAAATGGGAGCTTATAAAGAAAACGTTTCCAAACGGTAGAACGTTGTACCATCTATAGACTGGTGTCACCTGTTTTTTTTTTTTTTTTTTTGTGTAATTGGCTTTTTTCCCTTTTACTTCACTTCTATATTTTCTTGCAGGTGACCATATGAATGTATAGCAAAAAATATCTACTGCAAGTTATCTCCTACTAAACTGTTATTTAAAGGACCACTATAGTGCCAGGAAAACATACTCGTTTTCCTGGCACTATAGTGCCCTGAGGGTGCCCCCACCCTCAGAGTCCCCCTCCCGCCCGGCTCTGGAAAGGGGAAAGGGGTAAAAACTTACCTTTTTCCAGCGCTGGGCTCTCCTCCCTCTCGCCTCCGTTCGCCCGCGCCGGCTGAATGCGCCGCAGCGGCAAGAGCTGCAGCGCGCATCAGCGGTCACATAGGAAAGCATTCTCAATGCTTTCCTATGAACGCTGGCGTGCTCTCACTGTGAAAAATCACAGTAGAAAAAAAGCGCCTCTAGTGGCTGTCAATAGACAGCCACTAGAAATAGAAGGCTTAACCCATTGATAAACATAGCAGTTTCTCTGAAACTGCTATGTTTATAAAAAAAATGGGTTAACCCTAGAAGGACCTGGCACCCAGACCACTTCATTAAGCTGAAGTGGTCTGGGTGCCTAGAGTGGTCCTTTAAACAAAATTCTTCATTTTGCTTCCTTGTGTTATGTTCCTATGGTATATGTATATCTGAAGAGATTATTTAAAGAGACATACACCAGTGTGGATGGTATAAATATATATATATTTTTAATTGTTTCTTCTCAAATAGAGCTCCACTTATTGCTCGTAAGTTTGTTTGAGGTGTGTGTACCATCCGTTTTTTGGGGGGGGCGCGGGGGGTTGTTTTTCCTGTTTTCGGTGAAACACACAAGCACGAAGCTGCTAATTCTTATAAGAAATCACTATAATATAGAATATTTTATATGGAATAAGCACAAGGCAGAAATGCTTTGTTATATTTCTTTGATTTAGTTCCAGTTTAGTTCCCTTTGAAAAATCACTGTACTGCATCGATGCCCAGGCAGCCTTTAGTCGAACCTTGGCCAATTTAGCCAGTTTTTCACGTTAGAGAAGTGACCATTGTATCTTCTTAAAGAGGAACTCATTACCTTATTACTATAGCTCATTACAACCAATCCTTAAGAACGTTCCCTTTAATAATTTAGCTCCATAGGCTGAATTGTGTATTCTATAACCGGAATCTTAAGATGAATCCATTTAATAAATCTCTCTGCTGACAATTAGCTCAAAGTAGAAGCAATGTGAAATAAGTGGATATTCAAGAGCGTCTTGTGATCATTCTGGGCCGTGATCATTTTGTGATTTCTCAGATATTCGCTCTGTGTTGCTCAAATTCTGGGCCAAATCCTATCTCATTAGCGCTGTGTCTGCTGTGATCTCTGTCACAGCGACCTCTGACACTGATCTATGCCCTACACAATGCTTTTATGTTCTTTTTTGGAAGCTCACAGGGGCTGTCATAAAATCCCAAGTAAAAGGACCCCATTAGTAAACGTTCAACAGCACTTAAAACTCCAGAAATAAGATGTGCAATCAAGTGTTTTTTTAATAATCTACCCAGGGGCGGACTGAGAGCCTTTGGGGCCCCCGGGCAAAATTGAAGGCCAAATATATGTGCATTTTAATAAATGTTAAATATAATTCATAATACGGCATTCCTTTGGATGTGTGTATTGTGAAGACCTGTGTATCAATGCATGTTTGTATTTGAGTCTGTGTGAATGCACTTGTGCATGTCTGGATGACTACATGTGCTTTTTTGTATATAGTGTCTGTGTGAATGCATATGTGACAGGTGACAGAGTGTGTGAGGGAGAAGGTGACAGGTGGAAGAGTGTGGAAGGTTGTGACAGGTGGCAGAGTGAGGGGGTACCTGGTGGCAGAGTGAGGGAGGGAGGGGTTGAGTGGTGGCAGAGTGAGGGGGAGACACAGTGAGTGGGGGTGACTGGTGACAGAGTGAGGGAGTGGGTGACTAGTGACAGAGGGAAGGAGAGGGGGAGACTAGTGACAGAGGGAGGGAATGGGAGACTAGTGACAGAGTGAGGGAATGGGAGACTAGTGACAGAGTGAGGGAATGGGTGACTAGTGGCAGAGTGAGGGAGGGAAGGGGTGACTAGTGACAGAGTGAGGGGATGACTGGTGACAGAGTGAGGGGGGGGTGACTGTCACTAGTCACCCCATCCCTCTCTCTGTCACTAGTTACTCCCTCCCTAACTCTGTCACTGTGTCACCCGCTCCCTCCCTCTGTCACTAGTCACTCCCTCCCTAACTCTGTCATTGTGAAGGAAGGAAGGGGTGACTGGTGACAGAGTGAGGGAAGGGATGACTAGTGGCAGAGTGAGGGAAGGAAGGGATGACTGGTGACAGAGTGAGAGAGGGGGTGACTAATGACAGAGTGAGCGAGGGTGTGACTAGTGACAGAGTGAGAGAGGGGGTGACTGTCACTAGTCACCCCATCCCTCTCTCTGTCACTAGTCACTCCCTCCCTCACTCTGTCACTAGTCACTCCCTCCCTCACTCTGTCACTGTTACCCCCTCTCTCCCTAGTCACCCTTTCCTCACTCTGTCACTAGTCACCCCATCCTTCTCTCTGTCACTAGTCACCCCATCCCTCTCTCTGTCACTAGTCACCCCATCCCTCTCTCTGTCACTAGTCACCCCATCCCTCTCTCTGTCACTAGTCACTCCCTCCCTAACTCTGTCATTGTGAAGGAAGGAAGGGGTGACTGGTGACAGAGTGAGGGAAGGGATGACTAGTGGCAGAGTGAGGGAAGGAAGGGATGACTGGTGACAATGTGAGAGAGGGGGTGACTAATGACAGAGTGAGCGAGGGTGTGACTAGTGACAGAGTGAGAGAGGGGGTGACTGTCACTAGTCACCCCATCCCTCTCTCTGTCACTAGTCACTCCCTCCCTCACTCTGTCACTGTCACCCCGTCCCTCCCTCTGTCACTAGTCACCCCCTCTCTCACTATGTCACTAGTCACCCCCTCCCTCACTATGTCACCCCCTTCCTCACTCTGTCACTAGTCACCCCCTCTCTCACTCTGTCACTAAGGACAGAGAGGGTGATTAGTGATAGAGTGAGGGAGGGGGTGACTAGTGACAGAGTGAGGGAGCAGGTGACACAGTGACAGAGTTAGGAGGGAGTGACTAGTGACAGAGGGATGGGGTGACTAGTGACAGTCACCCCTTCCCTCACTCTGTCACTAGTCACTCACTCTGTCACCTGTCACTCCCTCACTCTGTCACTAGAGTGAGGGGGTGACTAGTGACAGAGTGAGGGAAGGAGTGACTAGTGGCACAGTGAGGGAAGGAAGGGGTGACTAGTGACAGAGTGAGGGAGGTGGTGACTGTCACTAGTCACCACCTCCCTCACTGTCACTACTCCCTCCCTCCTTCTGTCACTAGTCACGCCCTCCCTCACTCTGTCACATGTCATCCCCTCCCTCACTCTGTCACCAGTCATCCCCTTCCCTCACTCTGTAACCCCCTCACTCTGTCACTAGTCACCCCCTCACTCTAGTGACAGAGTGAGGGAGGGGGTGACTAGTGACAGAGTGAAGGAGGTGGTGACTGTCACTAGTCACCCCCTCCCCTCCCTCACTCTGTCACTAGTCACCCCCTCCCTCTCTCTGTCACTGGTCACCCCCTCCCTCACTCTGTCACTAGTCACCCCCTCTCTCACTATGTCACTAGTCACCCCATCCCTCACTATGTCACTAGTCACCCCCTTCCTCACTCTGTCACTAGTCACCCCCTCTCTCACTCTGTCACTAAGGACAGAGGGGTGATTAGTGACAGAGTGAGGGAGGGGGTGACACAGTGACAGAGTTAGGAGGGAGTGATTAGTGACAGAGAGAGGGATGGGGTGACTAGTGACAGTCACCTCCTCCCTCACTCTGTCACTAGTCACCCCCTTCCCTCTCTCTGTCACTCCCTCACTCTGTCACTAGTGTGAGGGGGTTACTAGTGACAGAGTGAGGGAAGGGGTGACTAGTGGCAGAGTGAGGGAAGGAAGGGGTGACTAGTGACAGAGTGAGGGAGGTGGTGACTGTTACTAGTCAGCACCTCCCTCTGTCACTACTCCCTCCCTCCTCCTGTCACTACTCCCTCCCTTCTTCTGTCACTAGTCACCCCCTCCCTCACTCTGTCACCAGTCATCCCCTCCCTCACTCTGTCACCAGTCATCCCTTTCCCTCACTCTGTCACCCCCTCACTCTGTCACTAGTCACCCCCTCACTCTAGTGACGGAGGGGGTGACTAGTGACAGAGTGAGAGAGAGGGTGACTAGTGACAGAGTGAGGAAGGGGGTGACACAGTGACAGAGTGAGGGAGGGGGTGACTAGTGACAGAGTGAAGGAGGTGGTGACTGTCACTAGTCACCCCCTCCCTCTCTCTGTCACTAGTGACACCCTCCCTCACTGTCACTAGTCACCCCCTCCCTCTCTCTGTCACTAGTGACACCCTCCCTCACTCTGTCACTAGTCACCCCCTCCCTCACTGTCACTAGTCACCCCCTCCCTCTCTCTGTCACTAGTCACCCCCTCCCTCACTCTTTCACTAGAGTGAGGGGGTGACTAGTGACAGAGTGAGGGGGGTGACTAGTGACAGAGTGAGGGGGGTGACTAGTGACAGAGTGAGGGGGGTGACTAGTGACAGAGGGAAGGAAGGGGTGACTAGTGACAGAGTGAGGGAGGGAGTGGGTGACCAGTGACAGAGGGAGGGGGTGACACAGTGAGGGAGGTGGTGACTAGTGACAGAGTGAGGGAGGTGGTGACTGTCACTAGTCACTAGTCACCACCTCCCTCACTCTGTCCCTAGTCACCCCTCCCTCTGTCACTAGTCACCCCTTCCCTCCCTAACGCTGTCAACTAGTCACCACTTCCCTCCCTCACTCTGTCACTAGTCACACCCTCCCTCACTGTCACTAGAGTGAGGGGGTGACTAGTGACAGAGTGAGGGAAGGGGTGACTAGTGACAGAGTGAGGGAGGTGGTGACTGTCATTAGTCACCACCTCCCTCTGTCAGTACTCCATCCCTCCTTCTGTCACTAGTCACCCCCTAACTCACTCTGTCACCAGTCATCCCCTCACTCTGTCACCAGTCATCCCCTCACTCTAGTGACAGAGTGAGGGAGGGTGTGAGTAGTGACAGAGTGAGGGAGAGGGTGACTAGTGACAGTGAGGGGGGGTGACTAGTGACAGTGAGGGGGGGGTGACTGGTGACAGTGAGGGGGGGGTGACTGGTGACAGTGAGGGGG